CTTTACTAGTCTGTGCTTCTGCACCTTCTCTTTGTCGGGGTAGTAAACTAGATAGGCGGGGCTTCCCTTGTCATGCCCTACAAAACGTCCTTTCTCACACCTAGTATCTAATTTTCCCCTGTCCTGCTGGTACGCATAACACACTGCTCCAAACTTATACATCCTAGCTAAGTTACACTTCTTCCCTGTCAGTGCTGAATATGGCGTAGTGCCCGTGTGCTTATTAAAACACCGGTTTCTGGTATGTGCTGCTTCCTGAATGACATAGTGCCAAAGGTATTTAGGTAGATCACTGTCAATAAGCATACATCTGGCCATTTCAAAAAGAGTGCACCCTTCTCTTTCAGCTGTCCCGTTTTGATGTGGGGACAAGACGTCTCATGTCTGATCTTGTTCTTTCTCCATAGTGTCTGAAACTCCTTACTAGTGAACTCAGTCCCATTATCTGATCTAATGCATTTCACCGTCCCATAGGGAGCTACATCTGCCAGATACTTCTCAGTGGCTTGAACTGCATCACTCTTCTCTTTCAGGAAATAAACAAACACTGCCCCTGTACACACATCTGTAAATGAGTGCGTATACTTGAAGCCATTTATGGACTCGTTATTAACTGGACCAGCTAGATCAGTGTTCACCAACTCAAGTGGTGTGTTTGCTTTATCGGTCGGATCTCTGTTTCTCGTTTGGGTAAACTTTCCCTCTATGCATACTGTACAATCTTTATCAGGCTTACGCTTTGTACCCTTAATATGCAAACCCACAGTTACATCCTGCAGCTTTAAAACATCCTCATAATTACAGTGACACATAATCTAATGCCACATTTGGATATCATGGCTGACATGACATTTATCTTCAACATCACACTATGTTTGCAAATAGTACATCTTCTTACATACATAAATGTCAAACTTGGTACCATCCGGTAACATCAGAACATCTTTACCTTCGTCGAAGAACACCTTGGCTCCGTTAGCTGTAGCAGACTTCACGGAAAATAGTTCTTGGGGGTACGATGGGATGTATAGTGCGTTCTTCAGGGTCACATTACACCGTCGTCCCTCGCTGTCTATCAGACACATCTCTGCTTCTCCTCTGCCGTGCGCCACCCCGAAGGTGCGCCTCCCGTCTGCCAATTCCATGCTGTGTCTCTCCGGCTTGAAGGTGCTGTCAAAAATCTTGAATTTGTTCTTATCGTTGATGATGTGGGACGACGCTCCCGTGTCCACGATTAATCCTTTTCTGTGGGTCTCTGTAGGCTGGTCTCTTCAGCTCGCACTTTGAGGGTGTAGTCATCTCCTCCCGCAGCTTCTCCGGTACCATCTGGCATGCTCGCACACCGAGCGGCATCACCGCGGTCCTTCTTTGTGCACGCTTTGTCTGTGTGCCCTTTGCTTTTACAAAAGCTACACCAGACTTTCTTTCTGCAGTCATCTTTTCGATGGCCTTTCTCTCCGCATCGCCAACATGTGCCGATGTGTTCTCCGCCGCCATCGGGGATGAATCGTTTGGCGGGCTTTCTCTTTGTTGCTGCTTGGACCCTCAGCACCCTCTCGCTCGTCTCGTCTGAGGCTGGGGCTAAATCTTCTGAGGCCTCGAAGTTCCTCAACTTCGCCTTGAACTGTCCCAACGTTACTTCAGTGTGACCGTGTGCCACCATCAGTGTTGGGCAAGTTACTTTTAAAAAGTAATTAGTAATAGTTATAGTTACTGCTCTCAAAAAAGTAACTACTTACTTTATTAGTTACTAAATTATAAAAGTAACCAGTAACGAGTTACTTTACTTTTAAAATAATAACAATACAAATACAAGTTGTTGTGTTGTTCTGTGGCACAGTAAGAGAAAATACAACTCCCCATCATTGTAGCAATTATCATTATGAAATGTAGTGGAACAATAAAACACAAAAGATATGTTTAGACATTTTGACAGGCATCTTTATTATAGACTCAACAATCAAGTTCTAAGTAGTGCACTTGTAGTGCAATATGAAATAAAAACTACACTCTTTTGGCAGTGTACACATTAACAACAACTACACTATTTTGGCAGTAACAATTAAATAAATAATAAACTGTCAGACTGACACTGAAGACAAACAAACTATTTTCAGCCTCACAAAAACAAACTAACAGTGAAATAATTTACCTCACATCTGGCCATCGTTTTTTGGCTGTTTAGATGCTCCATCTGGGTCACTGCCGGTGGGGTCTTTGGCGACTTGTACATGTACATTAGTTAGGTGCTTCAGGAGATTGGCATTGCTGTTATTCGATGTGGACAATGCTTTCTGTCCTGCACACGTTTGCATTTGACCGTAATATTTTTTGCGTCCTTTATCCCCACAAATTGAAAATAGTGGTTATATCTCCAAGTTGTAAATGCGCTGCTGCTCTCGCTGATACTTGAATCTGCCATTGTGTGTGTGCTGGTGGTGGGCGTTGCCGTGTATGTGTGTGTGTGTTAGCAAGTGTTTGTGTGTCTGTGTATTTTCCCCATAAGGCAAGACCCGCCCAACTCTGTCTCTGATTGGCTTACCCTGAAATTACCCCGCGTTAACCAATCATCGCTCCTCTCTGGTCACTTTCACTATCCCATGGTGCTGTGAGAGGACATCGCTGTATTCGCCTGTAAGTTACATCCGCAGGGAGATTCGGTTCAGTTGGATCACATAATGTAACGCAGTAACGCACCCATTTAAATCACAGTAACTATAACGGCGTTACTGAATGGGAATAGGTAACTAGTAACGTTATTAGTTACCGCAAAAGGTAGTTGCGTTACAGTAACGCGCTAACTCACAATAGGCATCACCATTGAACTTGTCATCACCATTGAACTTGTCATCTTGAGCCCTCAGTGCCGCGGTCATCTCTCCAGTGGGTGCTCGAAGGATGGTCTCCTTCAATCCCACTCCGTGCATGCAACACAGCATCCTCTCTTCCCAGAGCTCATACTCTTCTGCTTTCCCGTCGAACATGGGCCACTTGCTTCCTTGTGGTTCTATTCGTCATGGCTTTTGCGTTTGTAGCTTCAGTAGCTTAGCTTAGGTCCTTGTTAGCTTTAGCTTCCCTCGGTTCTTCCGATGCTAAACTAGCTCAACACGTGGCTAACTAGCTACTCCTATGCTAACCATGCTAACAGGCAATCTTCTCGCCTCGTTATCGCACTCGCGCTTCGAACCGTAGAATAATTCATCGTATCTGGGCCCATAACCTGTTAGCAGATTTAGACTTATACATTTTGTCTCTCTGCAGCAGAAAGGTGACTATTCCCACAGTTCAAGTTTAGCCATTCATTTCGGCGTTATTTATTAGATGCACACATGTCAAGAGACTTGAGGACAGAGAGAGAGGGGGCGTGACTCCAACGGTCTTATACCCCAGGTAGTGACATCACCATCATGTGCTACAGCGCTATCCAATGAACACAGTAGTAGTCGCAGCTACTTACACAAACAATATGGTACACAGTATTACATGAAGTCATACAATATACATGTCTCTGTATGTTATACCTCTACACGGCTTTTCTTGGCTTATTTTGAAGGTGACTGGTGATGAACAAATTACTAAACTGCCAGTGTCTCGAGTTTACAGCTAATTAGCTAAAAGACAATAACAAATATAGTTAACTAAGGTATAGGCTACTAGCTAATGGATAAGTTAGCTCAAGGTTTAGCTAAGGTAATGTATCATGGGCATACAGGCTAATGTACTGTACTTAAGGGGAGACACTTAAAGTGAATACAGTAAAATGTGTATCTAATAATGTCATCACAATCGCCACATTGATATGCAAATTAGGCGTTAACTATAGGCCAAATTAAAATGTGCTCATTTGCATGCAGTTACCAAGGCATTGCAGGTAAAAAGGATAACACTAAAAAACATATCACCTCACAACTTCCCCAGATAGTTACTTATGTCAAGTCAGTATTTTCCCCGGAAATGTTATGTTTAAATGCAGATTAGCTTTAAATCTATAGATGAATTCAGACATGGTAAAACGAACACCATTTATATGTGTTTCTTGGAAGTTTTATTTCCATTAGAGTGAAAGAAAATAGCAAAATAGACCAAAATAACAAGTACATGAAAAAACGATCTTTTTGCCTGTATTGTCCTTAAACAGTAACTTCATCATTTTGATTGTTGGCTGCTCATTTAATAATTATTAATTGTACTAGTTTGTTGTCTGCTCTTGTGCATTGTGAATACTAAATAAGACCATTGTCTCTGTGTTAGCTGATTATTTTGTAGAATTCTGCTGAGTATTAAACAATTGCGTGAGTGTGAGGGTATTAAAAGTAAATTGGTCAGTAAGTCAGAGATGTGCAACTATATTTAACTTTTAGTTTTAAAACATTTTTTTATAAATGATTATGGGAAGTGCCCTTTTTCTCACTTGAGCACCCGCCCCCCAAAATGTCTGTGCACGTCCCTGGGTGGAGGTATGCCCATTATTTTAAATGTGTCAGAAGAAAGGACAGGAATGTGACGGTGAGGTGCTCTGCTGCAAACACAACAACATCAAACCTCTCCAAGCACCTGCAGAGGCAACATGCTAACACGAAGCTAGTAGCTAAAGACCCCCGAACCCACAGTGATGATGTTGAGTGAGTGCAGACTCCGAACAAGCAGCAACAACTAGAATGTTCCCCCTTATTAACTTGTGTTATGTCTTCCTTATTGCAATAGTAATTGTTATATGTGCACATGTAGGCCTACGTTTTAAGTTTTGGCTATAGGCTGTTGCTGAGTAACGCAAAAGTAATGTAAAGAAACGAGTAAAGTAACGAGTGTAGAGAGTATGTAGAGAGTAACGAAGTAAAGTAATATATTACTTTAAAAAAAAGTAATATATTTCTTTTTTTGAGTAACGACCCCATCTCTGATTGTGGATCATTAATATACATTGACGTCATTTAAAAAGAACAACCAATGCTTCCTCAAGTATTCATGAAATATGTTGTGAATGTTCTGATTTATTTTAGTGTCAGAAGATTTGCAACCTTTGAAGCGGAGCAGCAGTTTTGGATTACTGCCACCTTCCTGTGAGTTTAACAGAACTGTGTCAAAATTATTTAATGTAAATCAACATCTTAAATCACAGTTTCTTAGATTATGGGTACACCATCATTTTTTCTCCATTTAATGTATGCAAGCTCTCTGTTGATTTTGCTAGTTTTGATTCAAGTCCACCTTTTAAGTATATTACCCTTTCATTGGTTAATTATCCAATTCAGTTTTTGGTTGAAGAGTAGTTTTTCTAATTCTGTGTTTTCCTTTTCAGTTTCTGAGCTGAGGGTAGTTCTGCTGGGGAACAGCTGGGCTGAGAGGAGTTCAGTGGGGAACTTCATACTTGGAGACACTGCGTTCAACACTGAGAAAGAACCAGACCTGTTTCTGAAAGTCAGTGGACAGTTAAAAGGAAAAGAAATAGTCCTTATCAACACCCCAGATCTGCTGCATCCCAACATCACCCAACGGAAACTTTCACAATATGTAAACAACTGTGTGAGGCTCTCTGATCCTGGACCTCATGTGTTCCTGCTGGTTCTACAGCCTGAGTACTTCACTGAGAACCACAAACTGACACTCTGCAGAGTCCTGCAACTCTTTGGTGATCAATCATTCGATCATTCACTGGTATTAATATCACCACCAGAAGAGGGGAGTTCAGGTTTCAATGAAAATGTTATGCAACAGCCAGCATTAAAAGACATGATCAGAATGTGTAGAAACAGATATGCGAGTCAGAACCTTGACCATTCAGAGCTGTTAACACGTTTGAGTCAAACTGCAAAGGAGAACAACGGAGAGCATGTGAGCTGTGATGTGTTTGAGGATGCAGGTTTGATGATGGCACCAAAGTCTGAACTCATCAAACCAGCTTTAAACCTGGTTCTGTGTGAGAGGAGAGAAGCAGGGAAGACTTCAGCAGCCGAGGCCATTTTAGGTCTGAGAGAGCTTCCTTCAGTCTCCAACTCCTCAGCATGTGTTAAACATCAAGGAGAGGTGTGGGGACGAAGGGTTTCCCTGGTGGAGCTCCCTGCTATGTGTGGAAAACCTCAGGAGGAAGTGATGGAGGAATCATCCAGGTGTATCTCCCTCTGTGAACCTGAAGGCGTCCATGCCTTCATCCTGGTCCTACCTGTGGGTCCCCTCACTGATGAAGACAAGGGAGAGTTAGAGACCCTCCAGAACACATTTAGCCCTCGGGTCAACGACTTCACCTTGATTCTGTCCACAGTGGAGTCAGATCCTACAGCTCCAGCTGTTGTTAACTTTCTAAAGGAGAACAAGGACCTCCAGGAGCTCCGTCAGAGATGTGGAGGAAGACATGTTGTTCTCAACATCAAGGACCAGCAGCAGATCCCAGAGCTGTTAGATGCTGTGCAAGAGATGAGAGGTACAGGATCTAGGAGCTTTACAAAGGACATGTTCACCAAGGCTCAGATGGAGAAGGTTGTAGAGCTGGATAACACCAACAGAAGACTTAAAGCTGAACTGCAGGAAGTTAAAAAGAAAAGTCAGGAGGGAGATGTTGATGAAAGTCAGAACAGAGAGTGTCTCAGGATGGTGCTGATTGGGAAGACTGGCAGTGGGAAGAGTGCAACTGGAAACACCATTTTGGGCAAAGAATATTTTGAATCAACTGTCAGTTCAAATTCAGTGACCAGGTTTAGCACGAAAGCAACAGGAGAGATTGATGGACGTCCTGTCGCTGTGGTGGACACACCCGGTCTGTTTGACACAGCAATGTCCAATGATGTAGTTCAAGAGGAGCTTGTGAAATGCATCAGCTTGTCGTCTCCTGGACCTCATGTGTTCTTACTCGTGCTGCCGATCGGCCGATTTACCAAGGAGGACATAGACACTGTGAAACTGATCAAAACATGTTTTGGCAAGAGATCTGGAGATTTCATCATTCCTATATTCACCAGAGGAGACGATCTGAAGAATCAAACAATAGAGAATTTCATAAAATCTAATGACCTCTTGAAAAAACTGATAAATGACTGTGGAGGGAGATACCAAGTCTTCAATAACAGAGATCAGAGCGACTGCAGGCAAGTCAGAGAGCTGATGGAGAAGACCAACAAAATGCTGAAGGAAAATGGCGGCAGCTGCTTCACCTCAGAGATGTTTCAAGAGACCGAGGCGGCCATACAGAAGGAAATGGAGAAGATCCTGAAGGAGAAGGAAGAAGAAATGCAGAGAGAGAGGGAGGAGATGCAACGAAAACACGAGGAGGAAATGGAAGTAATGAAGAGAAGAATGAAACAAGAGCGAGACGAAAGTGAGCAGAGAGCCAGACAGCTTAAAGAAATGGAGGAAAATATCAACAAGGAACGAGAGGAGAGAAGGAGAGATGAGGAGAAGAGAAGGAAAGAGGAGACTGAGAAGAAAAGGCAGGAAGAAATTCAACGAAAGGACTGGGAGAAAAAAGTGTTGGAGCAGAAAAACAGAGAGATGGAAAAGCAAAAGGAAGAATGGGAGAAGGAGAGAGAAGCAGCTCGGATCAAACAACAAGAAGAAAATGAAAAGAGACGACAAGAGGAGCAAACAAAACTTCAGTTGTTGCAGGAAGAGTACGAGCAGGAGAAAGAAAAACATGAACAACTAAGAAAAGAAGAAGATAGAAAGAGAAGAGAACAGGAGAAGATAAAAGAAATGGAGGAAAACTATGAAAAAGAACTGGAAAAAATGGAATGGAAATATAAAGAGGCTGCAAGAAAACTAGCCGAAGAAAACAGTGATCTAAAAAAAGAAAACGAAAGACCCAGACAAAAACTGAAAAACAAAGAGTGCACCATCCAATGATCTTCATACTGACTCATCATCATCATCATCATCATCATCATCATCACGTCAGCAGATGGAACATCATGTCCTCTTCATTTAACAGCAGATTTCTGGATGATAATTCTCAACAGAGTCAATCAGGCCACTCATTGAGACATTTCCACTTTGTGAGTATTTGTTATAACTAGGGATGCACAATATTGGTTTTTTGAAACCGATACCGATAACTTCCTGCTTCTCAAGACCGATACCGATAACCGATAATAATATAATATATATATATATTAAATGTACCTGTAGTTTTTGCACACCTGGTGGTAAAAAAGAGACTAGTAGTGAGCAAATGACATGAGCGTTACTACTATGAACAAAACTAAGCCAAGAACAGTTTTGACTCTCGTCAAGCGCCATCATTTCTATGATGAAGTTAGAGATCGTTTTAGCCCTGGGGTCGTCTCTGGCAAACTTCTTGCCTTTTTCAAAAGCCTCGTCGATAGGTAAAAGCCCCGGTGCCTTTGCAGCTGGCTTTGGATTTGCCGCTAGTTTAGCAGCGCAGGCGTCTTCGTACGCTTTTAACACACCATCGTAGCGATGGCGATGTTTCAGGTGACTAATCAGGTTGGAAGTATTATAGCTCGTTGCCTTTCTCCCTCCTCGTGGAACTTCTGCATTTGTTAATACAAATAGCAAGCGAACTATCTAACTCTGAAACTTTGAAATAGTCCCATACTACCGGCGACATGTTTGTTTACTGTCCTGGCTTCACGGCCGCACACCATTTACGTCACAGCCAGGCATGAGTTAGGGAGCGCTGGATTTGTGAAAAACTCCCCTCTTGCTAAACCACTAATACCACAGTACTGGCAAAACGGGAGGAGCCGAGTGAAAAACAAGCGCCCCTCATCCCAATCCACCCACACAGCAGTATTTTTTTTACCCAAAACATATATTGTATATTATCGGGGCTATTAATACTTGTATCGGGTTTATCGGGATGACGTCATAATTCCTAATATCAGACCGATAATTATCGGGCCGATAATTATCGTGCACCACTAGATATAACCCATCCCATAGTTTTGATTCTACGCATTCTTTCACACAGTGACGTCACGAGCTACCCACAATGCAACGCGCGCCATATATATATATAAATACGCCATTTTCCTGGAGGTGCTAATATCCTGGAGGTGCTAATATAAACAGCTAGGTAATGTAGCCAGGCAGAGCGCACTAGGTTTTTTTTCTGAATTAACGACCGAAGAAATCGCTGCATGTCTTCGGATTACATCTCTGGACTTGAGGGGTGTGCTCTAGGTCGTTACCAGCGTAAACTAGAGCTGTGTGGATTGCCCTTACAGACTGCCTGCAGATGTATGGAAAAACGACTCTCGAAAGTGGCCTTCGGTCGATTTTGGCAGTATCTACGTCTATCTTCTGGAAACACCAGGTGAATACCCCACTTGTCACAATAATATTATCATGCCATTGCATATATGTGGTATTTTAGAGTTGACTAGATATTGATTAAGGCAATAGACTATGATATTCTGCTTGCACCTCGTGTGAAATGGTGAATACCGGAAGTACGGTGTCGCCCTCGGCCCAAAACCTGTATGTGTGTGTGAAAGAATTATGTTGTTTAACCAGCTGCAGTAGAATGTTTTTAATAGTCAATAGTTTAACCAACCCTCAAGGTGCAGATTAAGCGTTGTATGTTTTATGGACTTAAAGGTGGGGTAGGTAATTCACTTCAGAAACACTTGTTATATTCCATGGAATGCTCTTAACATCCCGATAGCAATGAATACATGAAATGCTTTGACAATAAATACATACAAAAATATCATCAGTGGAAGCCGTGGCGCTGTAAAAAGCACGACCAATCATCTGAGCCGGCTAAAGTAACTGGATGGCCTACCTGCCTGTCAGCCTTCCATCTGTGCACAAACTTGTCTCGTGCCCTCATTGGTCATGTGCGCGTTCGTGTGTGTTGGAGGAGGGGCTCTGTGAGGAAGTCTGAAGGAAGAGGCAGATTTTTACGGCTGTGTACTTTCAAGTTCTAGCGCACTCGAGCTGGTTTCTCCAAAATTACCTACCCCACCTTTGAGGTTCAAGTTAAATACATTCAGTAATGTACAGATCAGTTGGTGCAGGTGCGTCTTTTTAACATTAATTGTTTTTCAGTGAGTAAATAAATGTATTAAATCAATCATGCTATGGAAAATGTTTAATCAATCACAAATGATTTGTATATCACGCATTTGACATGTGTTTAATAGAGGGTTAAATGCAATAGTAAGGCTATCATTAATGTTGTCAACATGAATATTGAAGTCACCCACGATAATGACTTTCTGTTTAAGCACTACACTTGCCTCTAAATGTGTGTATATGTATATTTGTGTCTGTATGTATGTGTATGTGTGTATATATACACACACACATGCATATAAGTGGGTGTAAAGGTGTGTATGTACAGTATGTATATATTTCCTTTTATATATTTGTATTCTATGGGATGGTGGGAAACAGAATTTGGACCCGTCTGTGTAACACAAATAGAGGAGTTAACTTTGACTCATTTAAGCTGACATATTGTTTGAGTATCAGCCAAGTTTCAGTGAGTGATCATAAATACATGTTATCTTTGTTGCAGCCATTTTATCTGTATGTTTTATTTGTTAATCTGTTGTAATATTCTCCTGAACACTGGGTGGTGTAGGGGAGCAGGGAAGCATAAAGGGGAGCACACCAGGACAGGAGGATGTATGAACGTTTGATTTGTTTATATATTATTAGAATATACAGTATAGCCATTTACTCAGTGGTTTTGAGTCGAGAATCAGAATACCTTCATTAGTCCCACAGAGGGTACATTTACATTGTTACAGCAGAAAAGAGCCAAAGACAGCCTAATGTTACCAAAGAAAAGGTCATCTCAGTAAGTGTGTTCATGGTCATGTTCATGGACTTGTGTTAATCAGTCAGTCAATGCCACATTTGCCCAAAACATTTTGTGTCATCCTTTGTTTTATTAACATATATCTCTCAATATGTAGAGCATGTGCAGCCACAAGAGAGCGCCCTGTCTGCGAGCAGCTTGTTCTTAAAGTGTTGGGGTTCCTGTTGAATGATCTGCAGCCTTGACGATGAAAACCTTAGGTCACAGGCTGCTGTTTGTGCACTGTGAATCCACTCTGATTCTGTTATAATCATTCATTTGTTTTAGTATCATGTGAAGTCCATTGTTGGTTCAATAAATACATCATTTTAATTTCATTGTGTTCATGTTACCTCATTGCACACAAATGTGTTTTTATATTGTTTTGATAGAATAGTTTTCCCAGTTGTCCTGGAGATGTAATGCGGTGAATGCATGTTTAGAACATATACTTTACAACATTTGAAAATGTAATACGTCAGTGGTGATGTACTGTGAGGAGAGAATGCACCCCTCAGTGGTGGTGAGAGAAACTGCAGGCTGCAAGCATTTCCAATTATCATCCAAATCTCTCAAAATGTTTTGGATGTCAAAATCTTGACATGTAACTTTTTTTTCAGAAGTTTGAAAAAAGTCTACATTTTGAGTATTTGAGAGAGAAAGTATTTTTCCGTAAAGTATTAGGTTAGTTTTTATATATTTGTATCCTCTCAAGACATCAGTGCAATTTTTTCAGCACGAGGGTAACGATTCCCAAACAAAGTAATATTCCTACCTGTAAAGGTGTAAAGAGGGGCTTCCATATCCGGCAGAGAAGGTGTTGTGGCTGGCTGCCGGATATGGAACCCCCCCTATAATTTTCCAAATCCGGCAGCTACAACACCTGGTCTGCCGGATATGGAAGCCCCTCTTTAGTTGTTCACCTGCTGGGCCCAGAGTAACATGCTTTTGTGAGAACTCACGAGAAGGGAACAGCCAACACCAGTGTGATTTTGGTGACGTTGTGAGTCTACTGGACAAAGTTGTAGGGGGGTGCCATATCTGGCAGGAGAAATACCTGCTCTGCTGAACATGTTATGTAGAGAACAGTACAGATCTTCCCTATTGACACCAGGAAAAACCTAGTCTAAAATAAGGAACATTAATAGTGTGATATAGGCTCAGATATAAGATCAATAATACACTTTATTTTAGGGCACCTTTCAAAACATTCAATGCCACTTCAAATTACATTCAAAGGAGCAATTAAAGTGAGTGAAGGCCGTTTGAACACATTATCTTTTAGGCTTGATTGAAAATAACACATTGTCTGACATTATCATATATGTTATATAATTACTGTCATATAATTGCTTACTATTCGTGGTTATCAAGTATCAGACACTTAAACAACAGTGAAGGTTTTAAGAAATAGGACTATACTGACAAATGACATCTTATCCTGTCATTGTCTGTTCTGTAGGAAGGAGGAACATAGCAGAGTGGGACTGCACTCAAAAACGGAAGTTTGTTCCAATACGAAGATTGTGACAGATCTGAAAAATGTCCTTAAAACGAGCCTCCTCGCAATTGTATGCGCATTATGTATTCAGCCGTTTGCTGTTTAATCTGATGGGAAATATATCATTCAAAAGAGAGAGAAAAGCTTATTAAACTAGACGAACGCTCAATATAGGCGACGACGTCACGTTTGCGCTTCCCCGCGAACAGGGCTTCAATCTACGGCACAACACCGGCCGCCGGCTGGGCATATTTGTTGTCATGCGTCATGACGTGCCGCCGGCGGCTGAGTACCGGCATTTTACTGAGTACCGGCACCTTGCCCCAAAACTTCAAAATGAGTCGAAGGAATTTCCCCGCGATGATCGAAATTATTGATATTTAACGGAACGGTATCGCTTTTTCTTTTTTAAACTGACGGTTCGAGATTACTAGTAGCCCAATATTTCATTGCACAACAGTTGTTGGGATGCTGTCACAGGCTCTTTAAGTCCCTCTCCCTTTGCCATCAATCCAAAATCAGCTGAGCTGCAACATAATACAGACAGCTAATAATCAACAGAATCACAAGGACAATATATGACTGATAAAAACACTCACCCATAAGTTACGTTTTTGTTTACTGTTTAGAAGTCTCAAATATGCACTCTAAATCCATATCAATAGCGATGTATCACACAAATAGCTCTCTTCCTTATTATTGTGTAACGTTAACTACAATATACTAGCTTGAACTCCAAGATGGATATCCTCATATCACCACCTCCACCCACTACAATCACACGCCCCAATGTTATATTTAACTAATATGTAACTCCCTCCACCCCGGATAAAAGCACGTTAAGAAGCCCCTTTTAATCCCACAACGTTGGGTTGAAATAACATGAGGAGAACGGATTAATAGGCTGTTCGTGGTTAACGTGTGT